CTCCTCCTCCCCCTCTCCTCCTCCTCCTCCCCCTCCTCCCCTCCTCCTCTCCTCCTCCTCCTCCTCCTCCTCCTCCTCCTCCTCCTCCTCCTCCTCCTCCCCCTCCTCCCCTCCTCCTCTCCCTCCTCCTCCCCTCCTCCTCCTCCTCCTCCCTCCTCTCCTCCTCCTCCTCCTCCTCCTCCTCCTCCACCTCCTCCTCCTCCTCCTCCTCCTCCTCCCTCCTCCTGCCTCCTGGCCGCTCGTCTCCTCCTCCTCCTCCCTCCTCCAAGCGCGTGCTCTCACCGGGGTGGCGGGCGCTGCGTCTGCTCCTCCGCGGGGCGGGGCCGGGGCCGCGCTGCCCTCGATAGGGCCTCCGCTCGCGGGTCCGCAAGCATAGACCTCGCGCCGGCCATCGGCCCCCCGGCGCCTTCCGCCAATTGGCGCGAAGAAGCCTTGCAGGAATGCGAAGGACCACGAGCGGGCCCTGAACTATTTTCGGGCCGGGGGAAAGGGGGGGATAGCAAAGGAGGGGGTTTGAGAATCAGCTCGCGTCGCTGATTTTCCAGGCGCCTCCCGGCGCCGGGAGGCGCACGTGTATCGAGGACTGGGCCTGGCGGCGGGGCCGAAACCAGCTGCACGCAGCAGATTCCGTACCCCCCCCTTTCGCAATTCCCCCCTTTCGTCCGGCCCGATATTTTTCCGAGACGGAGTGGGCCGCGATGACTGCCGACGGGTCGAGTCCCAGGCGCGTTCCAGATGCGAGCACGCCCCGGGGCGAGGTGCCCATTTGAGCCCACCCAAGCGTATCATCGAGCGTGCTGCCTTCCTGGCCACGCACGACATGAAGCTGCTTATCCAGATCGCTGAGGTAGAATCGGCCGGGAAGCGCGGGGGCCGTTCCGTTGCAAGACCCATCGAGGCGCTCGCACGCGTTGCCAATTTCGCCAGACGAAGTTCGTTCAGAGTGTGCTGGCCTGTACGCGATGGTCTGCACAGAGGGCGTCTGCCCCGTTCCCTGCCCGCTAGGGGCGCAGATGAAACCGCAGAGGCTGCAGGGCGCGCTCAGGTGCAGGCCCAGGAACGCGTCGACGCTGGCCCAGCCCAGCTCCGCGCAGGAGAAGGTCCTGGTGCTCCACCTCTCAGGCGGCGGGCCAGGGGGCAGGGCCCAGGCGCTGCTTGGGACGACGCAGCAGCAGTCGGCGTGCCAGGAGCGGATGTCCGAGCCGATGATGGGGGGTCAATTGGGCAACGAGTGCCCGGGAGTGCACCGGCGAGCCGGGGGGGCCCATGGCGCGGCGATCGGCCGAGTACCGTCCCGCGATCTCAGACGCCGCCGCGCCGTCGGCCCGCCTCGGCGACGGGGGGTGCGGAAAGGTGCCCGCTGCAGCGACGGAGAGGCGCCCGCTCCGGCGGCCGGCGGCGCGGCCGGGGTCTCCAGGGCCAAGGCAAGTAATCATATAGCGTCAGGTCGGGCATGTCCTCCTACAGGCGGATATTGACGACAAATAAGAAATAGTCAGAAACGATCAAAAACAGTCAAAGAAGCACGAGCAATCGTCCCAGACTATGTGCTACTATTGTTGATGGACATGCACGACTTCAATTTAGCGCTGGTGGAGGAGGAGGGGTGCGGCAAAAATATTGAGAAACATGTCCAGACGGCGAGAAAGAAAATGCGGCGAAGCTGTGGACGAAGCAGGCCCGGGGAAGATGGCGGCGCAGGAGATGATGACGGGGAAGATGGCTGCCATAGAGAAGATGGCAGCCAACGAGAAGACGGCGGCCAAAGGGAAAACGTCGCGGCGGCCCCCCCGATCACTTCGGTCAAGACGGAATCGAAGGAGACGGCGGCAGCGGTCGTTCCAAGCAGCGAGGGCGAGACGGCATCGGCGAAGCGCGACGCTGCGCCCCCCGCCCCGCGGGCGCCCGCGAGGGGGAGCCATGGCAAGGGCCTCAAGGAACGGCCAGGACACTGGCAAGGTCCACGGCCCGGACGCTGGCTGCGAGGACAAGACGGCCGAGGGAGGGGGCGGAGGCCTGCGGCCGCGCCTGCCACGGGCACCGGGCGAGCGGGCGTCGTCGATGGAAGTGAAGCGCGACCACGAGGCCTCTCGCTCGCAGATGCTGGCCGAGGCGTGGCCTCGCGGCGATCCCAGGCCGAGGAGCGCAGTGCTCGAGCCCGGTGAGCACGCACTGCGCGCGGGCCCAGGCGAGGCGCGGGCGGCCGCCGAGATGTGGGCAGCAGCTGGGTGCACCAAGCGAGCGCGAGCTGAGGGGTCGCCTGCGCTGCTAGGCTCGACGGCGCCCGCGGGCCTGCCCCGACGGCCGCCCTCGACCCCGACGGCGCCCCCGGAGCGGCGGCGAGCCTTCGGGGCAGAGTCGATGCAAGAAGCGCGCTGCGCTCCATCGTCCGCGCGCGCGCGCCCCGTCGGGGCGCCGCAAAGGGGGACGGCGGGGGAGGCAGGCAATGGCGCTTGCGCTGCCCGCTCAAGCATGGCCGCTTGCGCTGCCCCCCCTCCCACTCAAGCACTGGCGCTTGCGCTGCCCGCTCCCTCGCTGGTGGTCGGGCGCTTCTGTGGTCGCCACCGGCGCCCCGTCGCCGTTTCGTCGACGCCCGTCGTATGGGCCTGGGTGCCGGTGTGGCGGCTCCGTGGTGGCCGTCGACGCCCCGTCGCCGCCTCGTCGCCGCCCGTCGTCTGGTCCTGGGTGCCAGTCTGGCGGCTCCGTGGTCGCCGTCGCCGCCTTGCCGCCTCGTCGCAGCCCAGATTCCATGTATAGAAATAGTTAACTATCCCAGTGCGACCCTACCTAGGAGTTGGAGCATTCAGGAAAGCAACATCTACATTTACACCGACAGCTACATTTACATCTACACCTGCATCTACATCTACATCAACATCAACAGCGAAGCTAAGCTAAGATGGGATAAACTAAGCTAAGCTGAGCTAAGCTGAGCTAAGCTAAGCTAAGATGAGTTAAGCTAAGCTAAGCTAAGCTAAGCTAAGCTAAGCTAAGCTAAGCTAAGCTAAACTACGCTAAGCTAAACTGAGCAAAGCTAAGCTAAGCTAAGCTACACTAGGCTAAACTAAGCTAAGCTAAGCTAGGCTAGGCAAAGCTAAGCTAAGCTAAGCTGAGCTAAGCTAAGCTAAGCTAAGCTAAGCTAGGCTAGGCAAAGATAAGCTAAGCTAAGTCAAGATGAGATAAGCTAAGCTAAGCTAAGCTAAGCTAAGCTAAGCTAAACTAAGCTAAGCTAAGCTAAGCTAAGCTGAGCTGGGTGAACCCAGGGGGCGCAACTGGGGGAACCGCGGGGCGGATACTCGGGGAACCGCCCGGGGCGCTTTCCGCTGCCCGGCCTTTTAAACCCAGAGAGTAAGAACCCTTCTAGGCAGAGCCTAGGTAGGGAATAACAGAATCTCCCCCTCCCTCGAATTTCCTCACCCCCCCCGTGAGGCACTGGTATTACAGATGGTTATGCCTCATCGTTCATTGTGCGTATGAGCGCATTCCATCCCAAGGGGTCCCCTTATTTTCCCTCTCACCCCTGTCGAACAATATTATGCGTGCGCACTCTTCGACACCAACAATTAATTTGAAATAGCCTCTTGCGTAAAAACAGGCCAACACCACGCGCGCCTCGTCGCACACGCATGTCGACACCCGTCAGCGAAACCTTGGGCGTTCCAAAAAATCAACGTTTAGATTCCCATATTTCTTTCAAAGCGCTTTTTTTCTCCAACATGATGTTTCCCAGTGTCTGCGCGCGCCCTCTTGCGAAACCTTGGGCAACAAACGTTGTCATCATTTCGTCAAACCACGCGGGCGTCCCGCGCGCGCATGTCGAACGTATTCGAACGCCCTTGCGGGCAAGATGGGGAGCACGACCCCTGTCAAAGAATATCATGCGGGCCACTTGCGCGCGCCGGCCGCGCTCGCATTCCGAAGTCCGCCAAAAAACCTTTTATCAGCGACGCGTGAGCATCATCATCGCCACCAGCGTGACCTGCATCGGCGCCGTATTTGGCCTTGCCATCGCCGTTGCCATCATCGCCACCATTATCGCTCATCATTTCCGTCATTGTCGGCGTCACCCGGATGCCGCGCCCGCCCGAATCACCGATAAACACTGAAGCGCCCGCGCGCCAGCGCGCCATGTGAGACGCGCTGGGAAGTCCCCATCGGTCAGCGCCGCCGTGGCCGCGTCGGCTGTGCCAAACTCGCTGGCCGTTCTGCGCGCGAGCTTGTGCGCGCTAGCGCGGCCGCAGAGATGTGCAACCAAGCGCCAAGCAGTCGCCCCAATCGCCGCCGCATGGGTTTTGCAAATCAAGTTGCAGGTGGAGGGTGGGATGATTGCGCGAGCAATAGAGCTTACAACGCCAAGCTCTTCAGAATGAATTGCACCACCACGGATATTACACACGATAGACTGCACAACACATATTGCACCACGTATATGGCACCAGGTATACCTTACCCCACAGGTTGCACAGCATGTATTGCACAACACATGTTGCACACCAGATATTGCACGACATGTACCTGTATATATATATATATATATATATATGAATATATGAATATATATATATATATATGTATATATATATATATATCCTAACGTGGATTGCACAACGTAGATTGCAACCCATCGATTGCAACATAGATTGCGCAACATAGATTGTACAACATAGTTTGCCCAGCATGTACTGCAGCACGTAGATTGCACCACCTAGATTGCTCCAAGTAGTTTGCACAACATATATTGTTGGGAACACACTGTTTGGGGTCCACGCTGGCAGATCTGAATTTTTGAGCCCTGTCGAGGCCTCCCAAATCGGGTCCGAGTAGGCGAGGTCGGAGGATCGCGCCGAATCGCCAATGCATCGTCGATACATCGTCGATGCATCGGCCACGTCGGCGCAGAGAAAATCTGGCTCCACATCGAGCAGCATCGCCGATGCATTGGCGATTCGGCACCATCCTCCGGCACCAGTTACCCAGACCCAGCCGGGAGGCCCGGAGTCCTGTCGCCTCGTCGCAGCTGGCCCAGGGCCGCCTGAACAGCTGCGCACAAAAAGGATTCTGAGATGCTGGGGTTTGCACCTGCTTCAGACCGCTCGGTTTCTTGCCAATCTTCCGGCCCTGGGGTCATCACGGATGAGTCCGGCTCGGGAGATGCAGCAGGCAGCAAGATGGGGGCTATGGCTCTGGTTGCACTCGTTCCAGGGAGCAGTTTCCAGGGAACACCCAACTCGACGACGATCTGACCGGTTCCACCCCGGCGCTCTTCCTCAATGTCGGCCTCTGGGGCCCGCTATCGGGTCCCAGGACCATCAAAAAACGAGGCGCAAAAACCTGATCCGGGGAAAGGTCGTGATGGCCCGATGTTCCACCACCACTAGCGTAGGTAGAGGAGGAGGAAGGGGAGAAGAAAGATGAGGAGGAGGAGGAGGAGGAGGACCTCCCCATCCTCCCTTCTCCCCCGTCCCACCTGTGGTAGCCGTGGCGGAGAATTGGCCCATCAGGTTGGGAGCCCTGGGGCCGCGGATTGCACAGACAAATCTGGAGCGTTGGGTGTGCGGGGACCACCCCCGTGCCCGGCCGGGGCCATCCTCCGACATGGGGCCACAGCGCGGCAGGAACCGCAGGGACCCGTGATGATGCTATACGGCCCAAGGGGCACCCAGGATGACGCGTTCGAGGCGGGCGTGGCCAAGGGTGGCGCGAAGAGGCAACGGATGCAGCGGTACCCCTTGGCAAGCTATCTGTCCTTCTGGCGCAGTTCGCTGGCCGAAGCAACGGTCGATGCCCTTGCTGCTGAGGGCGCTGTGGTCTTCGCTTTCGGCGGGGGGCGTCGCGGCGGCGGCAAGTCTCGGGTGCTGTGGAGGGCCCCCAAGATTCTCGCGCTCCTCCCCTTCGTCGAGCTCTTGCCGCCGACTCCGAGCACTCTCCAGCGCGCCTGTGCCGTCCTGGTCGAGGGGAGCAGGGTCTATACTGTCGGGAACTTTGGCTCGGCGCGTCGCGGCGAAGGCCTCGGCGACACGCACTTCCCTGCCAGCGGCCAGCGTGTCGTCTCGCTCCGCGTGGCGGGCGGCCGGGACAGGCTCGGGGCGTGGACCCTCGCGGACCAGGACGCGGACCAGGCGTGCCGCGCCCGAGCACGGTGCGGCGGAACCGGCGGCGCGACACGCCGAGCAGACGCTCCTGGCCGCAGACGCCGCTCGGCGGTGGACAGACCTCCCTTTCGTAGACCTCCCCTCAGTGCCAACGGCCCGGGCCCGAGCTCGACGGACCCGGACCCGCCAAAAAGGACGGCCGCGACGCCCCCTCGCGAACCGAACGCGGCCAATTCCTGAATCGACGCGTCAGGGCAGGAGGTCTGTCCACCCCCGAGCCGTCCTGCGGCCTGCTGCCTCTTCACAGCAGCATCGGCCGCAGCGTCCGCGAGCGGCTGCCCGCAGGCCCGCGCCGGCGGAGCGCGGGTCAGGGGCGAGCGCGGGCGACGGGCCTGGCCGGGCACGGTGGTGGTGTGTTGTTGCCTGGCTGACCTCTGCGGGTGCCTGGGCGGGCGCGGGCGCGGGCGCGGGCGTGGGGCCGGCGAGTCTGACCGCCGCCGCGCCGCCAGCGCACGCGGCGATGGCGATCACGCGCTGGCTGGCCAGCATGCCAGTCTTGGGTTCCAGGCCCCACTCCGCGTCGGCTCCTGGGGTGGAGGGTGCGAAGCTCCCGGACACGATATGAGCAAGTCAAGACGGATGTGTTTCGTATGGGTCAGCCGCCAGAGTGCAGCCCCCGAGCCCCAGGACGGTAACAGCAAAAACGATCCAGGACGAACATGCGGTCTTTGGAGCGGTGTGGAAACCTCCGAGGCATGCGCAAGAGCAGCAACAACAACAATCGGTTTGATAATGTTCGCTCCTATCTGCTCGCATGTCGCTCCACATGTATATCCCAAATCCTCGATTTCAGCCCTCGTCGTCTTCGACCATACCACCGTTGGGGGTATCTAATCCTTACCTGACAAGTGTAGTTGGCGCAACCCCTAAAATAGGGTAAGGGACGGAAATGGAAAGACGCAAGATAGAGGGAGAAGGACGGAAAACGAGAGAGAATAACTGGAGGGGGGTGAGGAGTAGGAAAGGAAACGCCAGAACCAGACGACCTGTCCGGCAAGCGGACCCTGGCAGGCAGGTCGGGCGGGCCGGCCCAGACGGCTGGGCCGAGCGGGCGGGTCGCTGAAGCGCCAATCTGGCACGAATCGCGAGGAAGTCCCGAGCGATAGCGCGATTCCCATGTAGAGCGTGAGGAGGTCCACAGCGAGAGCGTGATTTCCAGGGGTCTGGACGGGTGGGTCGCGAGTCATCATGGGGCCCTTTTTCCCTTAAGATGGCTCCAAGAGGGCATCCGATGCTCCAAGATGGCCTCCAAGAGGGCTCCAGATAGCGCAAGATCGCTCAAGATGACCTCCGCCATGCATCCAAGACGCCGCAAGAGGGCCACAAGACGATCCAAGGTGCCCCCAAAGACCCCTCAGGACCTCCCCGAGAAGCCACAATCCTTCAAACAACTAAGGACCATCAATGAGTTTTGCTTTCTCGCCTTGTCGCTTCGGATGAGTTGTTGAGGCGTCAAGGTGGCCCCAATATGGCCCAACAGAGCTCCAAGAGGGGCCCAAGATGCCCCCAAGGCGGCCCCAAGACCGCCCAAGAGCGCCCCAAGAGGGGGCCAAGAGCGTCCCAAGATGCTAATTAGGTTGATGGCCCAGAAAGGGAGACTAAACGTTAGTACCTCCCTCTTTTCATCGACACCCTCCACGACAGCCCCAAGAAGCCCCCAAGAGAGCCCTAAGAGATCTCCAAGAGGGCCCCAAGAGGGCCCCAAGAGCGCCCCAAGACCACCCAAAAGCGCTCCACGATAACTCCAAGACCCCTCACAAGAGCCCTAAGAGGGCACCGAGCCCCAAGATGGCGCAAATGAGCTCCAAGAGCTCCTCCTCTTCCTGATCGTCGTGGTGGTGGTGGCGGTCGTCGTCGTCGTCGTCGTCGTCGTCGTCGTCGTCGTCGCCTTCCTCCTCCTCCTTCTCCTCCTCCCCTCGCCCCCACGCGGCTCCCAGGGATGGCCCAAACAGGCTTTCCAAGGCCACCCCCTTGCTCCCAGAGATCTCTCACCCTGGTTGCTCGCTTTGTTTCACTAGATGTGTCTCTTCGTCCCTTTTCCCGTCAGCTCTCAAGGTTAGGGTCTCTGAATGCGATAGTGGGGATTGTTTGATTCGCGGCCCGCAAGGAAAAGTCCAGAGGGCGTGAAGAGGATAGTGCGGATACGCGAGGCGCGAAGAATTGCGAGGACGTCCCACGCGAGAGCGCGATCCCTGTATACATTGAGAGGGTAACGCGCGAGAGCGCGATGTTTTCAATTGTGAGGAAGTCTCAGGCGGGAGCCGCCGTTGTTGTAGTAGCTCGGGGGCCAACAAAGCAGCCTGAGGCCCAAGGCTACCCCTTGTGCAAAAAAACAGGTGCGATCCCCAGGCGGGGCATTTTAATCGAACAGCCAGAAGCTGTGGCAGAGGGGGTGGTCAACAATACTTAGTCTTCAGAGAAGGGATACCAACAACGACAATCATTTTCAAAGACTGTTCGTTCTTGCCTGCTCGCGTTTCACCCAGCATGTGCTATGACCCAGGCCCTCGATGTCTGCCCTCGTCGTCTTCGATCATGCTCCCCCGGCTCGTCGGGGTATGCCTCTTCCTCTTCTGCCACGCGTAGCTGGCGCAGTCCCGAAAAGAGGGGCGAAGGGAGCAGGGAAGGAGGGCCAACGGGGAGAGAGACGGAAGTAGCACGACAAGGGGTCCCGCAGGAGAGGAGTCAGGAACAGCAACACCGGGCGTTGCTAGAAGCACCCCTGGCCCAAGGTACCCCCAGGGTTCTCGGGGTGGCCCAGGCGGCTGGCCTCCAGGGCACCCCTTCACGAGGCCCAGAGGGCCCCGGGGGCTGCAAAATGGAACGATAAGCTGGAGGCTCCTCCTCCTTCTCCTCCTCCTCCTCCTCCTCCTCCTCCTCCTCCTCCTCCTCCTCCTCCTCCTCCTCCTCTCCTCCTCCTCCTCCTCCTCCCCCTCCTCCTCCTCCTCCTCCTCATCGTCCTAGCAACAACCGAAAAAACGAGCGGTAGACCTAGACGGCCGGGTCTGGCAGGCGGCCCCCCCAACGGGGCGGGCCGGGGCGTGCGGGCCCGTGCGGCCAGGTCGCCGAAGGCTGAAGCGTCCGTCTGGCACGAATCGCGAAGAGGCCCCGAGCGATGGTGCGACTCCCAAGTCGAGCGAGGAAATCCACCGCGGGAGCGTGATTCTGGCGTGTCGAGGGCGCAGCGTCGCAACACACTGCGAGGAAGTCCAGCGCGAGAGCGCGATTCCTGGATGAGTTGTGAGGAGATCCCGCGCGAGAACACGCTGTTGAGTAAACTGAGAGAACGTGTCAGGCGGGAGCCATTGTTGTTGTCGTCAACAGGGGGCTAGCGGCTAGCAACCAAATCTGAGCCTTATGAGTTCCCCCCCCTTGTAAGGAACAAGGTGCGAGCCCTGGGAGGTGCCCTTCAACTTGGAAAAAAACATCATGGGCACCGCGGGGGGGGTGTCAACAAGAAAGGTGGCACGTGCGTGGCCAGGCTCATACAAACGCATGTGCAGGATGTGTGCGAGTTTGTGGTGTGTCAGACTTGTGCTACGTGTGTGTTGTGTGTGTGTGTGTGTGTGTGTGTGCGTGAGTGTGTGTGTGTGTTCTGTGTGCGTGTGTTGTGTGCCGTGTGCAGCTATGTGTGAGCCGCATGTGGGTCATGTACGTTCTGCGTGGCATGTGTGATAGGAGCGTGTGTGTGTGTGTGTCGTGTGTTTGTGTGCGTTGCGTGTGCTTGTGTGTGTGTGTTGCTTGCGCCAGGTGTGGTGTATGCGTTGTGTGATGTGTGTTGTGTGCGTGTATGTGTGGTCTTGATGTGCTACGTGTGTTGTAAGTGCTCTTTGTATTATGTAGGTTGT